CGTGCTCCGCACAAGACACAGCGACTCAACTCTGTCGTCTGTAAATCCCCACCCTAAACCCTAAACCCTAAACCGATTAAACCCTAAACCCTAAACCCTAAACCCTAAACCCTAAACCGATTAAACCCTAAACCCCTGAGCCCCCAAACCCTACGTAATTAAACCCGACACTCTAAACCGTTTAAACGTTAAACCCTACCTATAGTCTCCATTGTAGTTCTTTTTTGGGGATACCTTATAAAATCCTTAATCTATAATTGGTTAAACCAAAAAAAGGAACTACAATCGAGACTATATGTAAACACGAAACAAAAACACAAGCAGCCCTCTGCTGACGTCAGCGCTGAGGGCGCGGCCAAGGCCCAGAAGTCTGGCCGAAAGCCGGCCCAGTCCGAGTCTGGGCCTTGTAATTGGCCTCGGCTTTTGGGGTGATTATAGGGTTTATAGGGCTTACGGCTTTGGGGGTCTAGGGCTTATTATACGGTTTAGGGTTTAGGGTTCAGTCCGAGTCTGGGCCTTGTAGTTGGCCTTGGCTTTCAGAGTCTAGGGTTTGTATAGGGCTTATAGGGTTTAGGGTTTAAGAGCCTGGGCCTTGTAGTTGGCCTTGGCTTTTAGGGTCTAGGGTTTATATAGGGCTGATAGGGTTTATAGGGTTTATAGGGTTTAGGGTCTAGGGTTTAGGAGTCTGGGCCTTGTAGTTGGCCTTGGCTTTGAGGGTCTTATAGTATAGGGCTGAGAGGGTTTATTATAGGGTTTATAGGGTTTATGAGTTTATTATAGGGTTTTATCGGGTTGGGTTTATAGGGTTTATGAGTTTACTATAGGGCTTATCGGGTTTATAGGGTTGGGTTTATGAGTTTAGTGTAGGGCTTATAAGGCTTATAGGGGTTATAGGGTTTAGGGCATAGCTGACCTTGGTTTAGGGCTTGTTTTTCCCCCTTTAGGGTTTAAGGTTTTGTGTTGGGGTTTTGGGGTGTACCTTAAGAACCCCAAACCTACTGTTTTGTAGGGTCCCTATAAATACCATATTAGGGTTTATAATAAGAACCTACAAAAAAAGTGGGTTTTGGGTTCTTAAGGTAGGGTTTAGAGCTTTGGAGCCATTCGTTTCTTTCTTTCTGTCGTGAAAGGGGTTTAGGGTTTAGGCGGGTTGTGGAAGATGTTTGTCTCTGTCTGTTTCGTTGTTAAAAGGGGCTTAGAGCTTAGTTGTTGGTAAAGGGTTTAGGGTTTCGGGCTTTCGGTTTTTCAGGGTTTAAAGGGTGTTTCACGCTTCCTGTTACTGTTAGACAGGGTTTCGTTGGCCTTGGAAGTTTTTTCCTTTTCTTGAAACATGGGTCTTGGGTTGAGCGTTTCGAACCTTTGAGGCTCTAGTTTTAGGGGGGGGTGGGTTTGGGGCTTATAGGGCTTGGGAGGCGGTGGGTTCTTCAACAGGGCGGGCCCGATCGGCTTTACTCTGTTCTGGCAGCGTCTATACTTGGGGTTCCTTGCTAACAGCTCGTCACGTCAGAGATTCATCCACTCTATGCCCTGAACCCTGGCAGCTAAGGGAGATGGGCTTGCGGGATTGGGACTAGATACGACAAGATGCAAATCCCCAGATGTTCCCCAAGGGCATGGGAACCTACCCTTCGGGAGCGGCGATCGAAACACTTGAGCGCAGACTGCAAACTGTAGGGAGACTAAGCGCCGAACAGATCCAAACGAAGATCCTATAGAGATACAGGGAGAGGACGGTGAAGCCCAGCACCTTGTGTACCTTGGTTTCCAATCTGCATGTCATGATCTTTGGGTTTTTGATCGTTTGGACCGCCGGGTTTAGAAGCTTGCCTTTAGCCCTGAAGGTTTGCTAGCAGCCTACAACCTCGTCAGTCCAGCGGTACAGCAGAAGCCAACAAGGCTGAACCATGGTGGCCCCCCACGGCCAAAAACAGTAGAAAACACGCAGATTGCAATGTTCAAAAGTGGTGGCCTCTACTGTCAAGCCCCAGGCCACACGACCTGCTGTGTAGATCTATAAGTTGTGTGTCTAGGGAACTGAGGTCTTATGATGGAAAGTTTGCATATGGGCATGCAATGCGCTTCCAGTTGTAACAGGGCCACTTTAAGGCGGAAACTGCCGATTCTCACAACGGCATCTGCACAGCACTGGCTGAAACATCTGAAATCTTAACCCGGCACTCCTCAAACCCGACATCCTGTACAAACCCTAGGCTTTCCAAACCCCGAACAAGCATCCGGATCTGCAGCTGAGGGGGATGCGTTATAAGGATCCTCCTTCGTGAAAATTCGACTCGCCACCTCAGCTCGATGTTATCTTGACGCATCACGGCAGTTATACCCTTTTTGCACAGGCTTGATTGGAGCT